AAAAAAAAAAAAGACAAGGAGATAATTTCAATTGAATGGATTGAATATCTAATCTCAAGCCTTATGGAAAGCAGAAAGAAAATCAGATCTGAATGAGTCTAATGCCTCCTCTTAAAAATCTGTAACACCATAAAATAAAAATTTTAAAGAAAAATAGATGAAAAGGATAAACCCACTAAGGTTTTGGGTCTTTCTGTAGATATGGAGACAAGAGAGAATAATTCAAAGTGGGAGACTCCTCCAAGCAACTCTCCTCTGAGATCTGTTTTTTTTTCTATTTCATCACTGCATTTTTTGACTCTAAATATTTAAAATCTTTTGTCATTTATCTAAGTTCTTATGTCATCACCCTTCATTTCTACATAAATTTACTTTTTCATCAGCCTTTCTCTTTCTTGCTGCATCCCGACAGTTTTTAAGATGCTTTTAAGTTTTTGCTGCAAATATTACTAGCATAGAGAACTACATAATGCTGTTACCTTGTCTGCTGGCTGGGCAGCCCATCTGGTTGACATTGTGGTTTTTGAGAGTAGGGTATGACAGAGTAAGATATAAGTCTGGAACATAAATTGGTTAACAATAGCCGACTGGTGTAAACAAGGGTTCCTGTAAATGAACAGTGGGTCTTTGGAACCCTATAATGCTCATATGATTGAAGACTCAGGAGAATTCCTTAGAGCTGAGAATGACAGAACTGGATCTATACTGGAAAACCCATGATATTATACCATGAACATGATCTCATGAGTTTTAGCATTAACATTATTTTTGATATATGGATACCATAATATTATTCCAGTCACAGATGAAAGTCCCCCAGCTGATGGCCACATGGTGGCAGGTGACCTATTTTGCTTCCTTTGGTCCCAGTGGTCAATGGTACTGCTTCCCTGTGGCTTTCCACTGATACTTTCTCTATTTTTGGTTCCCTTAAATTTATGAGGGTACCTGCAGGGCTATATCATCTTAGAATGAAATAAAACTATTTCTTTCCCTTTTTCGCCTTTGTAGAAAATGATTTTCTTTTTTTCCCCCTTTTATTCTGTAGATATACTACCAACTGAGCCTATTACTTCTGTGTGGTTTAAAATGACTACAAATATATTATAGAATGCTTAATCTTTGCAGGGTGAGGGTAACAGTATGGTTTTCAAGGGGACAAAATATTCCTGTTAGCTGATTAGGCCTATGATGTATATTTTGAATACTTTTTAGGTTATAATTATCTCTAGTTACAATATGTTTTTGTTTTATGAAGAAACTTACGAGATTCTCATAAATTTTTATCAATATTTCCTTCAAGAAGATTCTGGGTTGGGAAGTTTTTGAATATGTCCTTTGCAGAAAGAAATAAATTATTTTAGCTCCCCAAAGAATCTAATATTTAGATTATAGACTAGACTAAACTTACTAAAATTGAGGAAAAGAAAGAAAATTAGACTTAAATAAAACAACTCTGGTGTGTCTTAGCAACATGTAATTGATAATAAAAGAAGTGACAACTTTATTTTAATAGCAAACTTTCATGCTGAGTCAAAAGTATATAATAGAAATCCATTTGTATATTGAAAATGTCTCACTTCACTCATTAATAAGATATTAATATGGAAATATCTATTTTAGCTCCTTGTCCCTTTGTTGTCCTATTTCACAACATATTGTGCTCTACAAGAGGGCTATGACTTCAAAACAATCAAGGCCTACACTCTCATGATCCAGATACCACTTTCTGCTGACATCAACTCTATTCATAAGAAATATTTAAATTAGTGCAGTGGTGAGGTGTATACGTGGAATGGAGCAAACAGTACTTTTCCTGAAATATATTCAATTAATCTTATTGTGATGGGAATGTGGTCATAAATAGTTCACACACAAGTCTTAGTAACACACTTAGAACACCTTAAAATCCACAAGACCTAATTGTAAATAGGTGAGCTACACTAGAAATAACAATGATATATGATCTGGAAATGAATTGTTTCCTTATTATTTCTTTTGCGCTCATTTAGTTATCAGGTCCTTGAAGTGAGGCATAAATTACCAATGCTTTTCTTTTTTCTTGATACACAGCCTAACAACAGTGTTCTTAAGTAAGAATTTGATAACATCATATTAGTGGTGTTAGCCAAAACTACACATAAAACTATTTTGTAAGATTGAAACACAGCTTAAGTTTCAAAGAAAAAAAGCCTTGTTGTTTAAAGGAAATTCAAAACTCTTTCAATTTCTAAACACTTTGTTTTAGCTCTTCCAAATGGATAAAAATTATTTCTAAATTATAAAATTCAGATCATACAAAATGCAACATTTCTCTTTGAGCTCAAAGCCTACATTGGTCTGTAAACAGGGCATTCTAATATTGGTGTACATGTTGTGAAATTGTTAAAAAGTTGGGAAATGTCTTACCTAGGCTAGGGATTTTCACCAGATAACTAAATTTTGTGAATTTACAAAAGGCAAATGAATGAGACCTTCATTAGAAGACTTTTGGGAGAGCAGACAAAAAGTCTTTGATTTTGAAAGTTCAAATAAAACATGGTAGTTGCTTCTCCTTACCTCCCCCCCCAAAACAGAAAGGAATATGTTGATTTGGGGCTATAGCCATCAACTCCACTGAATCCCTAATCCATTTTATTTTTGTGCATGCTGCTAGTATTTGTCACTCTAGGAATTCTTTGGTTGATAAATTATAGGTTACTTAAAATTTTCAATAAAAAGTTCCTTCAAGATGTCTAAATGAGAGAATGCAAGTCAAAGAACATTTAATTTTGTTGTACATTCATTAATTAGGAGTAAATCCAAGGAATTATATAAAGATCTGTACAAAAAATGTTTATATCCAACCCTTAGTCACTCCAGTAATAGCCCAAAGCTTTTGACCTGGCAATTACAAAAATCAAGAAGAACGGAAAAGCAGATTGGAATGCTAACTTGGACTCTTTAATGCTATAACTTTTGTTTTTCTCATTACATAAATAAATTGTAGTGTTTTGTGCTCTTCTGCAGACTCCATCTTCTATAAACTTTGCAAACTAAGAACAGATTTTATATTCATGCTTTTGGTATGGATTATTTGGTGTGGATTAACCTCACATAATTCCAAAAGTTATCAGTGAAAGAAAGAATAACTTATGTTTCAAATACAAGTAAATCTGTGGGACAAAAGTAGTTTGCTTAAATATTTTTTTAAATTTATATGTCCATATTAAATTCGACATTCTATACAACTGATTTAATCCTGCAAGTCTCCCTAAGAGTTATTGATCTTGAATTGAAACACTGTCTGCTTTAGGATGAAGGGCAAAATGGAATATAAATATTGAAAGCTTTCTCAAGTCTTGAAAAGTCTTATTAATTTAAATAGCATTAGGCTGTGAATTGCAAATTTTAACAGCCTAGATGAGAAAAATATTGATGCAACTTTCACATTTTCATGCTAGTATTTAAGGATTATATTCCTAATGCTGCTCACAAAATTAAAACCAAAACAATCTATCTCCTAGCTAAAGAATTATCATTAAAGTTTGTTAAATAATGAGAATGTGTTTTCCCTTTCACAAGAGAAGAAATTCTTTTGGGGAATTATAACCAGTAAGAGAAAATGCCACCAGTCTGTCTTTGTGAAAATTGCCACACTCTATACTACCTCCAAGCCATACAGCATATCAAAGAATGAGGAAGGAACCTCTGATTGAGATAAATATGGGAAGAAACAGAGGATTTGGACATGAAGCATGGTTCTTCCACTTGGGGGCCTGTGACAAGACACTTCACAGAGCCTGTTTTTTCATCTATAAAATGAGGGGCCTGGAATTGATCTACATGATGCCTCCTGACTCTAAATTCTGTGATCCTAAAAAGCACTGTTGGTGTATTTCTTTATTTGTATATTTCTGTGCATTGCCTAGTATAGGTATATGTGATAGCAACAAAATGCTCAATTTTTTGAGCATCAATTGATTGAACTGAAAAGAAAAACTGATTAAAAGGACATTTCCTTCATATGCCACAACATAACTCATAAAGAGTAAATTGATTATGTTTTCACTTTAGCTTAAATGTAGTAATCAATATTTTTACAAGAAGACTGGAAAGACAAATGCAGGGCATTTTCTATTAATTTCTTTCATTCTTTAAAATTCTGTGCTTGGTTCTTGTGCAATAACAGGCACCAAAAAGTTGCAAAGGGCAGGGGAAATCTGTTATCCTTTTTAAACTGAAGTAGAACCAAAATACCTAGAATTTAAGCTTATCTAAAACAAAACAACATCACAAGGAATAGATATGGTATTTTTAAAGGTTTACCACGTCAACATTTACTCCTGTCCACAATTACTGCTATTCCCCACCCCTCCTAACACACACACACACACACACACACACACACACACACACCCCCTCATTCATCATGAAGAGTAGCTGAGGTCATCTAAATAACTCCAAATCAAATGAGTTGTAACTAACTAACTCGATAAAGCTACAGGCAAAGGAATCATTGAGACTCAATCTTAACTCTGCATCACTTGTATGCATACAATGAGTGTCTCAGAAACATGGTCTTCTACCTGTCAGCTAATTTCTAGCTATCAGTGTGACCAGTGATCATGGCACGGGGCAGAAGAGACCGTGCTCACAAAAGCTTTTTCTTCAGAATATTATTTTGTTTTATGTAGTCTCTGAATCTGTATTGCACTCCTCAGCCGCATGTCTCTGTATATACTCATGTGTGTATTTGCACTTGTGTCTGCATATGCATGTGAGGACTAAAATTATGGAATCCCAACAGTTGGAGCTGACTGACTGGAACTAAGTTCTGGAATGCTTTTATCAAGGCTGAAGAGACTAAGAGGAAAATAATCTGCAAATTTTTGTGAATAAATGTTTTGTGGTTTCTTTAGAAATGAACTTTTTTTTGGCGGGGTGGGGCAATTGGAGTTAAGTGACTTGCCCAGGGTCACACAGCTAGTAAATGTCAAGTGTTTGGTCTGAGGCCAGATTTGAACTCAGGTCCTCTTGACTTCTGGGCTGGTGCTCTATCCACTGCGCCACCTAGCTGCCCCTTAGAAATGAACTTTTTGCTGACTATGAAATCCATGAGGTACTGACACATTTTTGTGGCCCCTTTGTAACAGCTTAGAATGTAACACTGGAAAGAGTCATGTATGAAAAAAGTCAGAACGGTACTGGTCCTAATAAGAAACCAACTTTCTACTTCTTTGCATTCACTATTTTCATCACTACTATTAAAATGCTTCATTTTAGGTCACTCTCCTCTGTAAACATTCTTTCTACTGACAGCAGCTCTTCATGGATTCATTCAAAAGCAAGTCGCTAAAACTCTGGCTTAAGCTCTCAAAGGAAACTATATGCAAAAGTTTCTGATGATCTGATCAAAGAGGGACAGGATGACAGGGAATAAGGAAAATTTCAGCCTTCCTGATAAAATGGGTGTGTGGTGACCCAAATGTGTTGGTCACTATACTATCTAAAAGAAAAAAGTCCAAATATTTTCAAATGTAAAATGTAGTAGTGTATTATTTTTTAAAGAAGAAATTTTAGCATTTTCAAACCTTGTCAAATGAAGTGATGCCAGCTATTAAGAAAATAGAAGTTTGGGAAAATATTCTAAAAATATAATCTTGCCTCAGTCATGAGATAATCAAGGTTATGCCGGAACATGTCTGCCAACTTGGCACCACAAATTAGGATCATAGCACCAATGTATTAGGTCTCTGTGACTTAAGGCAGCAAATTGAATTGAGCAAACTATGAACTGAGCAATATCAATAGTAGTTAATCCACGTCAGACAGATAGGATCCATGGTCCCTTACATTTATAGGCTGTGCTTGTCTATGGATGATGGCCAGGTACAGCAGAAGAGCTGTGATTGGCTAAGCAGCACTTGGCAGAAGAGTCCATTTTCTTTTTTTCAATGCATATGCCTAGGACATTTTCAAATTGGCACATTAAAAAACCCAACTGACTTAAAAAAGTAACTCTAGACTACTGCAGGTAATGTAGTATAAACTCATTTCGTCTGAGGGAAAAATATTACTTTGCTGGGAAACAGAGTCCTGTAGGTGGTGTCTGGAATGACTTCATCCCTATGTCACTTTTTTCTTGATGGCAGCTAGCTCCTTCTGAAGTTCGCTGAACTTGGGGCGGTTTTCAGGTTTGTAGTCCCAACACCTCAGCATTATTTTATAAATTTCTTCAGGACACTTGTGAGGAGCTGACATCCGGTATCCTGGACCCCAAAAGAAGAAGGTAAGGCAGTTTAGAATACTGGTAGAAAGGGAATAGATGTTGATCTTATGCCTTCCTTAAGACCTTTGACGCAACATTTTAACTTTAAAACTTTAATTGTTTAGGTTATTTGGTATAATAAAGAGTTCCACAAATGGTATATAAAGGCATACAGAATTCTCTTTTCATATGGACTTCAATTCTGCTGCCCAGAAAGTATTTCACTATCTCATTTACAGGAGCCATATTTTGTTTGCCTCGGGGCCTGAAATAATAATACTGTATATGCAATATTGTGATGTAACTGACCTAAAGAAAAACAAAATTTTCATTAAAAAGCATTCACAGATAGTTTCAACAACATCTTATAATCTAAGGCTAAGGCTAGTAATATTTATAAGCACACAAAGACTTCTATGAGTACCCAGTTTAAATGAAAAATCAAAATTAAAATGAACAAAATTCTTTTACATTCTGGGAAGAAAATAATTTGAAATTTCCTTAAAGAATAAAATGAGAATGAATAACTGGAATGTAGAAGGGAGACTCAGGAGCTTCTCTTAAACTCAGATTTGGGGAAGAGGCTATGATATTATAGAAGGAATCCTGAATTTTGTGGGTATCATAAGAACCAAAAAAATTGGAGGGAATCATTGCCCTAAACTACTTGGTTTCACCATTTCACCTATATACTGTCCACTACTCTTGAATCCTTGCCTCTTCCCCCCTTCCTATCAATGTTCACACTTTGTTAAATACCAGAGTTGGATTACTCCAATCATCTTTCTCATCCACAGTAAGAGAGCTGCTGGCTGGAACTAGAGGAAATCACTCAATTGAACTTACTGGGTCCACTACAAATTAGTTCATCTAACCTTAACTGGCTCTCACTTTAGCAAGATGGTACTTTTACTACTCTCCCCATCTGCCTCCATTTCTTCATCGGTAAAATGAGCTTGAGAAGGAAATAGCAAATACTCCAGTATCTTTGTCAAGAAAACCCTAAATGGGGTCACAAAGAGTCAGATACAACTAAAACAACTGAACGACAACAAAAAAAAAATTCAGATTCTTTGTCCCACTCCACTATCCCCAAATATCCCCAGCTATTCTACATATCTTCTTCTTTACTCAAATATCTCACATCATTTCCTCCCTTTTCCCTCTCAACTAAGGATCTCACTTCATACTTTACTGAAAAAATACAGATAATTTTCAATGAGCTCCTCTTTGTTCACATTTCAATACCCCTTCCTTCCATCACTCATTATGAATCAATCACTCTACATGCACACTTAATTGATCCCATAACCTTTACCCTTCTCTTTCTAACCTTTAAGCATTCCCTATCTCCCTTTCTTCCTTCCTTTTTATCTACAAAAATGCTCAAGTCTTCTCCATTGTGAAATGACCCTCACTAGAACCTGACATCCCTTCAAGTTAGGTCTTATATCTCTCTTCTCTTTTACAACCAAATTCCTAGAAAAAACCATCTACACACATTGACTCTACTCCTTCTCTCACTCACCTCTCAACACTTTGCAAAATGGCTTCCAAATTTATCATTCAACTCAAACTGCTCCCTCCAATTTACCTATCATCTCTTAATTGACAAGTCTTTTAGCCTTTTCTCAGTCTTAGCCTTCCTGACTTTTTGCAGCTTTTGATGCATGTGTGTAAGGTGTTCATTTATTTTTGGAAATTCTGAACTTAGACACCAAATCAGTTGGGTATTTCCACATACATAGAAGAAAAAGAGGACTGTATATGAGAATGAAAATACTACGTAAGGCCTAGCTTTCTTTTAAAATACAAATTCAATATGTAACATCCAAAGCTATCCTCATTTGTGATTCTTCTGTTTCCTTCTGTGGATTTTTTTTATAAAATTCTTTCAATAACTCTTTTTCCTTTCTTTTCTTTTTCATTCTTTTAAAAATTTCCTGACTACCCTATCTCTAGCCCCCATGTCCCTCCCACCACCCCAATGAAATAGAAAAACAAAAGTCATGTAACAAATATATACAGTCAAGCAAAAAACAAAGCAAAACAAAAAATCTCATACTAGCTGTGTCAAAAAATGAATCTTACATTGCATCTTGAGTCTATCACCTCTGCCAGCATGCTTTACTATCGGTCCTCTGGAATCATGATAAGTCAGTTAATTGATAAGAGATTTTAAGTCTTTCTAAGTTATTTTTGATTATAATGATGTTACTGTATAAATAGTTCTCCTGGTTCTGCTCAGCACTCTACATAAGTCATGCAAGTCTTCCCAGGATTCTATGAAACTGTCCTTTTATAATTTCCTACAGCATAATAATATTCCATAACATCCATATATCATTATTTGTTCAGCTATTCTGCAATTGAGGGACATTCCCTTAGTTTCCAGTTCTTTGCCACTGTAAAAAGAATTGCTATAAGTGTTTCTTTCTATACTGACTCTTCCTCTTTCTTTGATATTTTTAGGGTATTAGACTAGTGAAGGTATTATTGGATCCAAAAATACACATGCACAGTTTAGTGAATTTGTGGGCATAATTCCAAATTGCTTTCCACAATGACTGGACCATTCACAGTTCTATCAAGAGTATGTTATTATACCTGCCTTTCCACACCCCTCCAGCAATTTTCATTTTGACAATTTGATAAGTGTGGTGGGAAATTTCAGTGTTGTTTTAATTTATGTATCTCTATTAGTGATTTGGAACATTTTAAAATATGGTTGATAGCTTAAATTTCTTCCTTTGAAAACTGCCTTTACATATGCATACATTATATATACATACTATATATCTACATATATTATCCCTTGACTTATTGTACAATGGTTATTGTTCTTATAAATTTGAATCAGTTTCTTTTATATCTTGGTAATGAAATCTTAATTAGCAATACTTCTCCAACTATTTAGCTCTTTCTATTTTTAGAAAAAGTATTTCATATTTCTATTCATATAGTTCCTTTGTCTGCCCTGGTTTATAGTCTCCTAAATATTTTATAAATTTGTGGTTATGTTGAATGATATTTCTCTTTCTATTTCTTACTGCTGTCTTTTGTTGGTAATGTATAGATATGCTGGTGATTTATTTTATAGCTTGCAAATTTGCTGAGGTTATTTTTTAATTAATTTTTTAGTTCACTCCTGGTTTCTCTAGATAGACCATCATATCATTTCCTCTTCTCCATATGCTTATTTCCTTGATTTCATGTTCTTTTCCTATTGTAATAATAAGGAGAAAGGAAGTAGAAACACTAATTGTAGACAGCTTTCTCTAGGGGTTTGAGAAGTGTTGGGAGGGGGAAAGGTAATAGATTAATGAATGTTGGCAAGAGAGGGGAAAGAACTAAGGTTACAGTCTCCTAGAGAAGATGGGAAGGGATAAAATCAAGAGTACAAGTGGAGGAAGTGGCCTTGGTCAACTTATTATCAGGGCCTAGGAGAAAGAAGGAAGGAAGAAGGAAATAAGCATTTATCAAGCAATTACTATATGTGCCCGATACTGTGCTAAGTGCTGGGGTTGTATACAAATACAAGCAAAAAGACAGCTTCTTGTCCTCAAGGAGCTCACATTTTATCAGTCAATAAACATTAAGTACATACTATGTGCTAGGCATACACATTATGCTGGGGATACAAAGAGGCAAAAGAAGTCTAGTCCCTGGCCTCACCGAACTCACCATCTAATTTTAATGGAGGAAGACAAAACACAAAAATGAGCTAAAAAACTGAGGGGGGTTGTGATGTAAGGAAGAAAACAGAGTGGTTGATGATTTTAAGGACTTCTCAGATGAAAAGAAGAGGGAGCACACGCTGAATGAGATTAATTTTCTCAGTAAGGTAGGAGGCAAAGTCTGAGAGAGAGAGATAGAATAGGCTTGAGGAGAGAAGAGGGTTGGAAAAATTTTTGTGGGGAGTGAGATAAAGAATTAAGGAGGACTAAAACAATTGTCTTGCTATAGTGAGGGCCCAATTGAGGTTATAGAACACAAATTTATAAATTATTTCTCGTTGACTTGTTTTCCAAGTTCTCGGTATTTTACATTTGTTTTAATATTTCTTGTACCTAGGAGCAATTGAATTTTTAATTTGATTCTAATTTTCAGGATATTTGCTACTTTGCAAGAATTTTCTTCCTATTCTGAAGTATTGATCTTCCAGTTCTTTCCTCTAGAGCTATTTTGCTTATAATTTAATTTTTTATCTTTTGCTTTACTTTTTCCAGTCCATTTTGGAGTCCCTGTGGCCAATCTATTTTTTTTTTTTTTTTGGCCTGAGGGAGACTCTGATTTTACTTTTCACTCTCTTCTGATTTTACCTCTTGATCCATAAATGGCATTTTTTAAAAACTGTGTTTAGTCTCTTCTTTTATTTTACTGACATTTCTAGCTTTAGTTCTTGGTTTGAGAATTTGTGCCAGGTTCTTCCCTCTCCTGCACTCCTGGATGGGATGGTCTTCTTTGGTCTTGATCCCTATTTCCTGGACTCTTGGCATTAGCTTTCAAACCTTGCCCCTCCTCTGCCTTCCTGACAACCCTCCAGAATGTTTGTGTTCAGGATCTCTAGGAATAAAGGGCTGCGGACTTCTGATCCCCCTGTAACCTCCCAGGCAGAGTTCTGTAGGCTTCCATTCTGCTGACTAGTGCTTGCACTGGCTTCCCTGATGAAGCTGATCCCCTCAAACCTGCAGGCTTCTGGCTGCCTTTCTGTGCAAGCTTGGAGTTGGATCTAGGTGTTTACTGTTATTTCTTTTTGGTATTTCTTCTTATTATTTAATCTAGTGCCCTTTTTTTGGATTTCTCCCCAAAAGTCCCATCCCTCTTAAAGCCTTCTTTCCTTTTTTTTCCACCTGTTTCATTGCCACCTTTAATGTATTTCTTCTATAGACTCTGTGTGTGTGTGTGTGTGTGTGTGTGTGTAACCATCATCAGATAAAGATGAGATTCATGAGATGCCCATTTTCCCCATTCTCCCCAATAATGAGAAATAGTAAGTATTACTTTTTTCTTCTCTTTTCTTTCTTCTTAAAACCAATGAAACAGAATAAAACCATACTTGAGCCCTGAGACTATCTTTATTTACTCTCTACCATGACACAGAGACCTCTTTACCCCAGAAGCTCTTTCCATTCCTGGAATAGTTCTCACAAGGTCTCACCTTATGATTGGTTGGCTTCTTCCAGAACCTCCAATTTAAGGAGAAGGCCTCAGGCAAAAATGTCCATGTGGCTAAGCCTTTTTTTCCCCTTGAGGCTCTTACTTGCACTTTCAGTGGAGTCATTTTCTTCTTCTGGTTTTACAACTTGGGCTTCTTAGAGTATTTCTTCAATGCATTCAGTGTTTTATTCTGTTTACTTAAATTTTCAGCCCCATTTCCTGGCTGTGGGACCTTGTTCCAGGGACTGGTTTTACCCCCGCTTTCAAGACTTTGGCATTATTTTTGACATCTGTTTCATTATTAGGTAACATTTCTGGGGTTTGTGTTAAGTGTAGATTTTAATGTGTAGGTTGTTCACATTTTCTGTCTTCAGGTTTAAAGTAAATCCTTAACTTACACCCTTATCCCATCTCATCTGTATTTAAGAATGCAGTTGTTTCTTATGATTTCCCTGTATTGATCTGTAATATGCTGTGTAACTCTGACTTGATGAAGTCCTTGCCTATAAATGACAGATCTGCTTCCAATGAAAAAAAATGATATAGTAGCCTCACATAATAAAAACATTCATATCTTCAGCCTATTTTATGTACATTTGTTTTACCAACCCTTTGGTAGTCAGCATCAAATATACCAAAAACTTTTCTAGTAGGTGTGGTATGGGTATTTCTGATTTGTTCTAAAGTATTTTGCCTTTTTGTGGTCTAAGAACAAGATGGAGGGCTACTAATTTTTCTGTTCTCAGTGTCAAGTTGATAATCACAACAGTTCCAAGCAGGGTCAGTCTGCAACCCATGCTCTCTCATTCATTTCTTAGATTCACAGGAACAAATATAACACATTGACTGGGGTGGTATTGCCAGGGCCCAGATGGATATTTTCATAGTGTCTTCCAGGGCTTTACAGTTTTACACAGTGTTCTCAGGGCAAACAGAATTCTCAATATACATTGTCCTGGGTGGCATTTCCTGACTTTGCTATCCTCTCTCTCACTCTCCAACAGAATGATGGGTTGGATTTTATTAATAAAAGATTCACAGGTATTTCAATATTCAAGAACATATATTTATCAAATAAAATAAAATTCATTTCCTGTGTCTAATGGTAGGAGGTAAAAAATCTAGTTTTTGCCTTAGAGATCACTCTAACAGCAAATAAATTAATAATGTCAATTCAACAGACATATATTAAACACCTGCTATATTCCAGGCACTGTGTTAGGCAGCATGGATATAAAAAACAAAAATGAAAACAGTCTTTTCCCTCAATTACATTATACTGGAGGGAAAACATATGAACATAGGAAAGCAAATACAAAATAAATATAAAATTAAGAAAGCTGTCTACCTATCCAGGAGCTTTAAAATCTTTCCTTCATTTTTTTGGGTGGGGCTAGGCAATGGGGTTAAGTGACTTGCCCAGGGTCACACAGCTAGTAAGTGTCAAGTGTCTGAGGCCTCATTTGAACTCAGGCCCTCCTGATTCCAGGGTTGGTGCTCTATCTACTGTGCCACCTAGCTGCCCCCTCCTTCATTTTTTCAACCTTATTCAATGGCCTGGCATTTTCTCGTAAATTTCTTTTAAAACAGTACACTTTGTTTGCTTAGTGACCATATTTAAGGTCACTCTAAGGGCACATGCCACACACGGGTATTTGTGCCATGACTGTCACCTAGGTATTATTAATCTGGGGTTGTGATTTCCCAAGTTTCTCAAAGAGTGTTACAAAATTCTTCAAAGATCCTCCAAACAGAAGGCAATTGTAATTTTCTTAAAAAAAATAAAAAGAGTTTGGGTATCACTGATATAACCTTCTTGCCCAACCCAACTTTAAAGCCTCATTTCAATTCCTCCCCCTAAAAAACTGGGGCAATTTCTCTGAACTTTTGCTTGCACATGTACTTTGTGACTTGCACATGTACGTTGTGAAGATTTTAACTCTAATTCTGTACTAACCTTGCTCCACTTGTTCCCGGGCATGTTGGTTGGTCATTCCAGGATATGGACAGACTCCTAAACTGAAGGTCTCCCACAAAAGGATACCAAAGCTCCATGCATCACTTTCAGAACTGTATCTTCCTGGTACAAAAAATAATGAGACAAAAACAAGAGTGAACAGGCAGGTGGTTTAAAGGTGGAGAACATTTTTTAATATATAAATTTTCACCATTACATTTTAAAATTACCAAAAGGATAAAATTATCAATGTTTCTGTTTCAATTCCAAAGTTTTATTTCACAATCTTTAAATAGCTGGCATATATAAACAAGCCCCTTTTTTCCCTTTCAGGAAAATATTTATCAAGCATGTGAACTGTTCTTCAAGTGATATTTGAATAGGATGATTATTTGCTATAGAAAACATAAAAATTTAGATAGACCAATGCTTGTAAGGAGATTTACAAGCTGGATTTCTGATATTTTGCCTTTTGCTTAAATTCAATTTTCTTTTCCCACTAAAATTATGAACAACAAACTTAAAGCAATAAGGTACATTCTTTGTATTGATTTTTATTCTTTGCTGTTTATGTTTTCTTCTATGCATAAAGGTCTCATTTCTTTCTTGATTCTTCCATTTGTCTAAAATGCAATTTTTTTCTGTTTTAAATAGTGAGGAAATTAACATAGGTGGCTGATAAAAACAACTTCTTTAAAATACAGGGTACCTTTGTTTTGTAAAAATATCTTCATGCAACTGCCTCACTAAACATGAGTAAATGAATTTGGAAACAGGTGTATAATTCAAAAGAGAAAATACTATCAGCAACAATTTAACAAAATCCTATCTCAATCTCTCAAAGTACCAAGAATCTTAAGGATTTTTAAAAGTTACTCAAATTTTTATTTTAATTTCAAATTGAGGGCCAAAAAGAGTGCTAGTTTAGTTCCACTACTTGGCAAGTGGGATCATTTTAAAGATTCCTCAAATGATTTCCTTTTCTATCTCTTTCATACTTTTCTGGCCTATTTACTGTCATTTTAATATTTACAAAATTCAATCCTTCTCCTATTTTTGCTTGTTATTATAAGTTAACCACTCTTTTTGTTTTCTCTGAAGGCAGTAAAATGGTACTGGGAGTATGTATGAATGATGTTACGGGTTCTGACGTCAGTAAAATTTCTGCCCACTCACTAAATATCATTTCCAGCTGTGATAAATTACTCTTCCTTCTTAGTAGATAGTAATTACAGACAATCATGATACTGTAGGTGGTAAGATTAGTTTTCTTGTCTGTATATCAACTCTCTTCAGAGTTTAGCATCCAGTCATTTATCACTTTTCATTAAAGTCATTCAATGAATATAAGTTAAAAGCAATTAGTTTCTTAAGAAAGTACAAGTTATTTAGTTAATTATGTCCTCCATCCTAATCCCTCAACCTTCCCATCTATACCCAAAGTTAGATATTATCTTGAGTAGAGATCAAAAGAGATATAGTCATATAAAAACCAAGAATACATATGAAAAATACATAAAATCATGAACACATCTGTGGTTAGGTTTTTAAAGCCTATCATGAAGCCATTTATTGTTGCTATTATGTTCTAGGCAATGGGGGAAATGCAAAGATAAAAATGATATCACTTTTGAACCTTATATCTTAGTGGGCTACATTTTCAAAGTATTTTTGGCTACACAAGTCTAATTAAAGTGAAAGGCTATTACTTGATTAAAATTTCCTTCTGACACACCGAAAAATATATTCTTGAAATTTTGTTCAATTTCATAGTTTTAAAATATTCTATTTGTCCTTTACAAACATATCAACTTTCATTTTTGTTCATTTGTTCAATTATTATTTGTTAAACTACCACATGTTAAGTACTGGGAAGGATATAAAGATAATAGCAATGTAATGATAATGCTACTTAATTTAGAACAGTGTTATTAAATTTAATTCAGGCAGGGATTTCTATTGCCCAGTGTTCCAAATATGCACTTTCTCTATGTTCTAGTTAGCCTCTTTCAGTATTCCAATTTGTTGTGTAGATCTGTATAGATGTCAGACCCAAGAATGCAAACTTACAAGGAGGAAAAAAAAAATCAGTGACAGAATGGCTAAAAAAATTAGGAAGAAATTCAATACCAAACACAAAACTCTTGTGCCATAAAATTGAAAAAAAAATGGGGAGCTTTTACCTACCAAAATTCAATAGTATTTTCTTTAGGAAAATAACTTGAGGATGAAATGCTAATTAATTCACATCAGTTTTGGCCTCTGAATATTGAAATAGCATCTCAGAGAGCATCCTTGTCATGTAAGACCTCTGTGAGTGGTTTCATAAACCACTCTCTCATTTGCATGAGAAATGCCTTCTTCCTCTTCAGCTCTTTCTTTTCCATCTGACTTCTTCTGAAATTTGTCAATTCACAGTAAAGACTTCTAACCCTGGCTGTTACTGGTGTAAACAATATTTGTTGGGATGCTTCATGCTCTTGCCAGTAAGATCATTTGGCAATGGAAAGATAGAACATAAAAAGCCGGTTTAGTAATGAACTTGAAAAAAATATGGAGTTAGATTTTAGTTGTTCTAATAGCTTATTCAAAATAATTTCATTTCTGGGCCAGGAATTCAACAATTTCGTAAGCAGAACCCAGGACCAGTGTCTAGAGAGGTGAATTTTTAGTACGAAGATGTTTAGGCAACTGTGTCTCAGTTGTCTATCCATAATTCCCTAATAGAGATGTAGGAATCAGCCAGAAAGTATTTGGGACTGTATGAAGAAAAAAAGCTTCATATTAAATACAAATCATTATAATCCTGGGCTTTTTTCTATTCTTATTCACCATACCTAATTTATTCCTAGGGAAATATCAACAACAATCCCAAGAAGAATCACTATGGAAAATTACAGGGTAGCTATTGGCTGTTTGAAATTGCAACAAATCCTCTTGCTAGCACGAAGGAAAACAACAAAGAGACGGGAGATCGGTTATATTTGGAATGTTGGGTTCATTCTTGAGAAGGAGAAATACCTAGTCAATACCTGCCCACATCATTTACCTGGCTTTCATTTAACATTCCACAGCACTCTGGCAATAGAATTTTAAAAAAGTATCACAGTTGAGGTGAAGTCTCTGGGGCAGAATTGGAGAAGGTAGCTTATATTCACAATTGTCAGCATTGTTATTAAGAAGCACCTGAGATTTTAGTATGTAGTTCTCATAAGCATCAAATTCATATTGATTTTAAAAAATGAGACTAAATGTGATTAATAAAGTAGAATTCATTTTTCATTCATTATTTTCAGCACCCTAAATTTACTAGAACTTCACCACAACAAAACAATAAAAATAATGTCTGAATTTCAAATACATTTTATCAAAAGCCCAAAGGTCTCTGCTATGGTTTCTTAGCTAGATGACTTGAAACATTCTCTTCAGAAAATTAAAGGAAATGGGGCAGCTAGATGGTGCAGTGGACAGAGCACCGGTTCTGGAGTCAAGAGGACCTGAGTTCAAATCCGGTCTCAGACCAGACACTTGACATTGACACTTACTAGCTGTGTGACCCTGGGCAAGTACTTAACCCAAATTGCCTCGCCAAAAGAAAAAAAAAAAAAAAAGAAAATTAAAGGAAAGTAATAGTGGGCATTAAAAAAAAATTTAGGAATCAAGGAAAACATTTGAGAATTCAAGCAATGTGAATATAGATAATCATGCAATTTCAGTACTAACACACACAGATGATCTATCTAGAACACTTATCAAAATAGATTCTGGAAAATTTTGGATTCTTCTTCATTTGTGAGGACCAGTGGGCAGGTATTGGACCAGCTTAATTTTAAATCCATTTCATAGTCACATTTTTACCTAGTTTAATTGCAGGAATATTAGAATTTTTCAAATTGAAGTAAATTTTTAATTTGCAATCAATAAAGGAACAGTTGACAATATTTTATTTGCTATACTTTCTAAAAATAATTTTTGTTACTCTATGCTTGGCAACTCCAATTAATGTGAACATTTCCATATACAAAAAAGAAAAGAAAATAAAGTATGAACATGAAGCCATGAATCTCCATAAGAAACAGCTTGCTTTTCTAAAAAAAAAAAAAGCATATAATAAATTCAATGTGAGTTTTACAGTTGACCATCTTGTTTGTGTCCTTCCAAATTTCCCTTTTTTTTGTTAAACATTTCTATGGCCTACTTTTCCTTGTAAGGATGGAGCTTATAGAATAAACAAATCAATCATCCCACCTTAATTAACCTAACACAACACCATAGCCCTAATACCTTATCAGGTTAAAAAAAAACAAAACACCTCTACTCAATCAATCAATCAAAATACATGGGAAAAACCTAGTTTATCAAATTGGAAAAGGGTAGAGCATATCAAACCATAGGATGAAATGAAATATTACCCAGGAAGGGTGATGGGATGACCTAATGAACTTCAAAAAGTGGAAGATTTCAGACTTCCTGATAGCCATGGGTAAGCAGCAGGGTCCTAATATACTTTTGGTGTAGCGTCCCTGAAGCAGGGGCGATTTATGGCAACATTTATATAAGATGCCAAGAAAAAACACTAGACACACCAGGGAAAGGCAGCTTCAGGAGAAAGAAGGAACCTGGTAGAAAGCTCTGCCATGCCTACAGGGAACTTCACAGAGGCTCCAAAGAGAGAGCAAAGTTGCTGCTGTAGGTTCTCCCTTGGCCATATGAACTCTCCAAGCCTGAGTCCACTTTCTACTAGACTCAGTATATATTTGCAGAAATGTCCTAGATAGACTTTTTGGATAAATGTTTTATAACAACTGTCCTTACTATATTAGTAAATACCTCTAACTAAAAGCTAATAAACTTTGGCTGGTAGTTGATATTAAATGATAATCAATGTGGGAGGCATACCAGTAGAGACTTGTGAGCTAATTTCTAACTCCTCACTGTTATTCCCAGAACCCATAGGGAGAAATAGCTAGTCAATACAGCTTCCTAATGTGAACAGGAATTTGGGATAGCAGTCTCAGAGCATACGTGCTATGCTTTCTTTTATTTTTTTTACATCACTACAATCCCCTTAAATTTAAAAAATAAAACCCTTAACGAATAGATGGATGAAAAAAATTATTAGTCATATTTGTTATAATAATGTATAATATTATAAATAATATGCTATAATATAATAAATAATAATTACTGTGCTAAGCACTGGAGATACAAATAGAATACAGAATCTGCTCTTAAGGAGCTCGAATTCTGCAGGTTTCAGTTCCAAGTCAGATGGAAAGTCATCTATTAGGGTTTAGTGGCAAAACAGATGGTAATGTCTCTTCTTTAATGTTATTTCCACTGATAAGTCATATCAGTTTCTGAAGTTGAGCCATTTGACAGGATTTTGGTGGTGATTACCTTCTTTTCTGGGTCTTCATTCACTATGGCTGTAGTGTCCACAGAAGTAGCTGCCAGGCCCTGTCTTCACTAAGTTGGCTTCTGGGGATGATTGGGAGGGGATGTGGAGAGAGAGCTGGAAGCAGAAGCAACCTGGGGAGTGCAGCCACTGTTGAGGCTCTTGGGTTTACCTGCCATTTGGTGGCAGTTGGTATTTTTGGTGATGAGGAAAGTGGGCCCCTTTTTCAAGGTGATACACTGGTACTACCAAATCAAGCAAAACAAATCCACACATTGGCAATATCTGGAAATGTGTGTCTTATGTGTAGAATGGTACCATGGGAAACATGTTTCATCATCAATCCCACTGGAGTTATGGGTTGGTCATTGTGATGATCAGAATTCAGAAATTATTCAAGACATGCTATATTCATTCACCAACCCTAGGCTTGCATGCTGCATCTTAATTGCCTTCCTTTATTGAAAATGCGATTCCAGATTTTTTTTTTAAAGCACAATCTGATCTTTTCTTCGTTTTATTCCTGATCTTGTTATAGCATATTACTCCCAACAAACATAAGATGTGTGTTGTATTTCCTTTTGAAACGATGCATAAAATTTCAAGTAAAAAAATCTCATATTTAAAAAAGTAATTTTTGTCTTCCTTTTCCTATAAGAGTTGTACAAAAAAATACATTCTAAAATATTAAAAAAGACTGAATGACATTTAGCCTATGGGTACCCCAGGTAATTCAGTAAGGTTATAAATTGTAGAATAGCATTGCTGACCTGCACTGGCAAGGGGAATTTCCTCAACAGAAAATCACAGGTACAAACCTCCCCACAACACCACCCCACCCTCTCCTACCCCCACCCCCACCAAAAAAAAGATGTCAGGAAAACAAATAAATTTTCATGATGAAGGGCTAAAGAATTAATGAAGATTAATTTTAGGGACCTAATTTTAGATGTAGTTTTACTGAGTCAAATTGCAGGGGCCTAGCACCAGAGTCAGTGCATTATAGTTACTGTGTACATATTTCAACTATTTGAGTTAGCACAGATATACCTATATTTTTGAGAAAGGGAAAAATATTTTTATGCTTTAAAAATAGCATGTACTGTCATTTTTTTTTCAAAGATGATCATAAATGAATCAATGTCAGTGAAGTGCAAACACATTTTTGTGACAAAATCTGATAAACAATTCCTACATATTTAACATACACGTACATATTAAAGTATTAAGGCATGAAAGTTTTCACATCACTGTCATCAAACATGCTGAAGGAATTCAAAATTGGACTAAACTTCAAATTCTGTGATCTATTTTGTGAACAATTTCATGCTGTATGTAGGTCATTTTATATACTAAAAGGAAAGAAAGAATATATTCTTACCGTAATTGAGGGCCTCTGGAGCAGTCCATTTGATGGGAATTTGCTTTAAGCCAGAAGATGAATATATACCACCATCTTCTTGACGGGACATTCCAAAGTCGCTGATTTTCAGAATATTATTTTCCCCTACCAGGCAATTTCTTGCAGCAAGGTCCCTAAATTAAAAGGAGACACCGAAAACATCTATTAATACAAATTGAAAGCAATTTTCATGCTTATATTTTTAGGGTTTCTTCCCCATTTCTACAAAATAGACATGTCTAAAGCACAGGTCCTTCCACTGCTCAAGATGCCTTAGTAGCTCCCTATTGCTTCTAGATAAATCACAAACTCATTTGCTTGGCATTTAAAGCCCTTTACAATTTTGATCCATCTTTCAAAGCTGATCACATTTGACTCTTTCACACATTGCTACAATCCAACTTGTTATTGGTATAGGACGTTCCATCTTGTGTCTCTGGTACGGGGTCCATGACTTGAAATGTTCTCTATCTTCGCCTCTGCGTTTGGAATCGCTAGCTCTCTTTAAGATTCAACTTAAGTGTTGAAGCATTTTTGGAATTCCTCAGTTGTTAGTACTCATTGCCATCAGAAATTATTTTGCATTCATTTTCTGTTTGTGCATATTATTGTGGTTAGAGAGACAGCCTTGGAGTCAAGATTATCTAGGTTCAAGTCCCACCTTTGACTAAGCAAGTCATTTAATTTCTTAATGCCCCACCCAGGCAATTCTTTAAGATTATAATTTGCATATGAATCACTGATCTGCAGTGGTACAGTTTGTTTCCTCATTGGGGAGCTTCCTACATGGATAAAATCTCTGCTTTGGATGGAGGGCAGATAATTTCATTTTGGTTTTTGCTTTCCCAGGGTCAGGCATAGTGACTGGCTCTTAGTGATAAATGCTTGCTGAAATGAATGTAATTTAAAAAGTCCGTGACTTAATAGTCATTCTCATCCTTTCTGTAATAGATAAAAATCATCCATCTTAACGCAGTCTTTATGTTCCAGGAAAAACGTATATTTCAATTTAAATGATAAAAACAAATACTTAAGGATATTAAACAAGGTAAGAAGTGCATACATAGCAAAATTGGCTTACTTTCCCCACTGGATTTATTTTCTCTGACACACTAATGAGTAGTTCTAGTAAGGAGAGAGATGGCTAGAATGTAGAGTGACAAGGGATTAGAGAAACTGTAAACTCTTTTCATCTGCCTCTATGATGCTAGTTGTAATAAAAAGCAAGAATAATATTCTAGAATGAAGCCACTCCTTTCTTTTCCCTCCAGCATTTTTTTTTCTGTCAAAAGAGCCATCATCTCATCTTTAATTAATTGGATAACTTTCCATACTTATATTCTATAATCTAAAAATTAAAACATGTTTCAGGATTACTAGGAAACTAGTGAGAACTCTAACTGGGATGTTACTACTATTTTTTGAGATAATTATCTACATGGTAAGCTGAGGTTGATATTTTTCATTAGGTATTAAATATACTTTGTAATAAGCATTACAAGTCTTGTGTTGGGAGAGTTACTCAAAAAACTAATACAATTAGGTCTAACTCAAAAAGAATGTATTATAGACCTTCCCAATTGCTGACATGATCCACAGGGACCAGCTCCTTTATCAGTGAGAATAGTATTTAACTCTAAGAAACTCCACCTAGGAAAAAATTAATTTACTTATTTACAAATTCTAGAGTCTATATATTGTGAATACTTTCTTCAATACAGTCAGGAGGTACTGAACATGGACCGTACCAAATAACATCACAAAAATTAAGTTGATTGAATTTTAACAGATGTTGGAGTCCTTTCCAAACTAACTCTCAGAGTACAGTAGGACCAATGACTAATTATTTTGAACTTCACAAAACCATCAAACATGAACATTTATGTAAACAAAGACTAGAAAAAGAAGATTATATACCAAACTGTGAACTATCTCATGTACAGATTTTTTAAAATATATAATAAATTCAATATATTAATTTCAAAGCAATCCTGCTTGTCTGTGTTTCCCTTTGAACTACTCTCTTAGAATTGTTATAGGAAAAATAAAATGCAATATGAAATTAAAAGAAAATGATAAGATGTACAATGGGAAATGGATAAAAGACCAGGCATTAACATGAATGATCACCATTTCCTAAGTATTTACTGATGTAAATCAATCATAAAAATGAGGAGATCAAAAGGACTTATCACATAACCAGTAAAAACTTGATCTTGACAAGCAGAGTTATATGGTAGTCAAAGTCAAAATTGGTTTGCAATAAAAATGCATTTGTAAAATCTTATGGCTTATGGGGGAAGATAATGAACAATGTCACCTCATAAAATAGTGGGGAGTAGTGGATGGAAAAACAATATTATAGAAACTCTGGTAAGAGACTCAATTATTCCAGACCTCCCCATGTTACTTAAGTATGAAATCAGAGAACTGACCTCCAGCATTTAGCACAGTGCCTGGCACATAATAGGTGCCTGACAAATGTTTACTGATTGAGTGAAAGATGGCAAACAGATTGAAAATGTAAAAGATAAATGAAAATTTATATGAGTCACCACATTTGGATTCTAACATCATATCCCCCAACATGCTAAAGGAAGATGTAAAAATAGCACTAAGGAAAACAAATATAGAAAGAGAGGCTGAACTAGACCAACGATAAACAGAGAAAGGCTGAGCTGGAGACAATTTTAGGAATGTTGAGGGACTGAATTTTAAGATATCTCAAAGAACAGAGGACACTAAATATCTGCAAAAAATATAGATCTTATAAGTGACTGAATAAAAAGGAAATTAAAAAAAATAAAAAACCATCAATTCAAATACCTGCTTTCCTATTGTCACAAAGCTTTTGAGAGAATGATATACTCCTATTAAGATTATTCTTGATGAAAGTATTAGATAGGAAAAGGCAGGCTTTTCCAAATAAAATACATTCATACAACTAAGTGAAAGGTATAGAAAAGCTCTCACAGTACTTTTTACTTATTAACTAAACAACATTTGGTAGGGCAAATACAGTCATAAACTTCATGCTCATGTCAAAGTTATACAAAAGTCCTTCAAAAATGTGACAAAGATAACTTTGTTTGATAAGAGTTGTTTTATGAATTTTAACAGTCACCATTCTCTCCTCCTTACTCCCTTTTGCTCTGGATATTTAATGAGCCATCCACTGTTATAACAATTAGGCTTTTTTTTAAGCTTAGGAGTAATAATAATAGCTTCAGGTCAATTTTCTCTATATTATGTGGTCTATACCAGACAAAAAGTAATTAATACTGTCACAATAGCTTAGAGCACCCAGTTAGAAAAAAATTACTAACAATCAGAGATTTAGCTCTCTGTTCTACTTTAAATTTTTGTTTATATCTAGCTAGCCTTTAACCTCTTTATGTTTAAGGCAAAATTTAGAATATACGACAAGAGGGAAATGAAATATATTATAGTGTATGTTACTGAACATCACAAAAAGGGGAAGTTGGGGAAAGAGCTAGGTTTTTTTTTTAAAGAATTTCCCCCAGTCCTTTAATTGGTGGGTTCAACTGATAGCTTTACATGTTTGAAGAGAGGTAGTGTGGTAGAGTAGAAATTGAGCTGGACTTGAAGTGGGAGAACTTAGGTTTAAATCATGACTATGCCACTTATTGGCTGTGTGCCCTGGAGGCAAGTCATTTAACTTCTCTAGTTATCTCAGTTCCTCATTTTACAAATGAGGAGGCTTGATTAGATGGGCTCTGAAGTCCCTTCTATCTCTAAATTCTATGGGTCCTATGATATAGGCTCTTATATTTTTTTGCTTAAAGGTGTTTACTACTATCGTAGAGGGTCTCCAAATGGATGAGGGACTTCCTATAAATGGTGAACTTCTCCAGATGCTCCTATTTTGGGGCGACCTTTACCTGACTGCATTACCCCAGAATACTGTAGAGCATACTAAATAAGACATACAAGCATTTAAGAGAGTTGAGTGTACCTATACAAGAAAAACCTAGTAGATGAAGAATGCCTACTGTCCAGATGATGATGTGTAGTTGTATCTTCAACAGACACTACAGGAGGGTGATGAACTGGGCTTGGAACTGAACAGGAGGAAAACAGCAGGTTGGACTACATTTGAAAAATTGTATAGTGCTTCAATGACCCCCATTTCTTCTTGAAACAAAATCCTATCTTCTTAATATTATTTTTCCTGTGATTGTACATGGATCCAAGTCATATAATACTAGAGTTTCCAAAGAATTAAACTTGCATGTAACACAAAGGGCAATGGAGAGATATGTCAACACACCTGTCCCAAAATATGCACTGACAGAATGGGATGTTTCTGGGAAGATGTGAGAGGTCACTACATACAGGAATCTGAATACCAAGCCTCATATTTTCTTTCAAAGTGATTACTTGAAGTATTACAGATTCTAGAATTATTGCTTCACCTTCAACTGGAAACCAGATATTAGGTAGTAAATTAGAGCTTGGAAAATAAAAAATTAAAACTGCAAAAATTCTCAGAGAATTACAACCTATAATTAAAATATTCCCTTTGGTGCCTATTTTCTTTAGTTCTGAAATGGACAATGTTGTGCCTCTCCTTTTATGAGTAGATTAACAATATGTGAAATATGGTAAATCAGAAATGATTAGATGGTAGATATAGTATTCTCTCTATTTGTGATTTCATTTGATATATCATTTACCATGTTTCTAAGTCAGTATTTATCTCTCACAAAGAAAAGGAGTTAAAGAAATATTTACTTTGTTACAGGAAAGTTTTTCACATGGGATTCAGAAGATAGTGAACCATGTTATAAGCACTGATAATGAAAAAAAAATTATCCTCTTTAGAGTCCTGGGGCTCTCCAATTCTGAAAATAATGTCTTGATAGAACAGTTTTTTTAGACTGTCCATCTAACTCAGGTAGGAGTCTAATTGTAGAGGTAGAAAAGGGAAGAAAAGTGAAGAAAGGTAGAAGGAATATAAAGAAGAAAGTGAAAGTAAGATTACATTGAAAATTGGAGGAGAAGCTAACACAAACTGACACACACAAATATAAAGCCAACACCCAGGAAGAAAAAAACATGAAGCACATTTTAATTTCCTTATTCTAAAACTGAATTCTGAGGCAAATAGGTT